TCGTGAAAAGTCAAGAAAAAGAGGATAAATCTGTGAAATCAAATGAATGTTGACACCCCCTTGATATTTCAGACAAATTGTCTTCAAAATAACTTCCTCTTCGTCCCCTTCTGGGCACTATGTGTGAGAAAATTCAATAATAATTGAAGCATTGTATTTTGTCCATTCAAGTTGTTTTTGAAATTTGATCTAATCAGCTAAGCACATTCCTAAGGGGTTCTAAATTCCGAGAAACATAGTGACAACTGCTCAATTTCCCTTCCTCTTTGAAAAGGCGTTAATTACCTTGGCATTGGCTGAAAAGAAAGATTTAACTAAAAGGAAAGGAAATATTTGAATAGGAGGAACTACAAAATAATTTATTGCTTTGATTTTTACTGATTTCAACTAAATTTGATTATAGATGATAAAATCTGTTAATTTTAAGGCCTTTTTTTTAAAAAATAAAGGGGGGGGGAACTGTCCGATCCAATTCAAACTTATGAATTACTGTGCGTACGCCAATGAATTACGCAAAATTAGGTGTGATTGATGTAATTTTTTTCAAGGAGTTTAAGATTATAAATTTTTCTTAAATGAGCGTTAATAAAACTGCAAATTTTATAATATATTCAACTTTTTTTCTGCTTAAATACTAAAATATGAGAAGAAATTAATAATGCCCATTAAAATGTTAAACAGAAGTAAATTTTTTTGTTGTTGCCTTCTTTCGAATTTAGGGTGAGGGCTGACTTTTAAGATCCCCTAGGTTTCAAATATTTTGCAGGTAGGGCCCCGGTTTGTACTACCAAAAGCATGCTAACTCAGAATTTAATGCATATTAATCATGCCGCATTATTAAGTATGTTTTTATTTTATTTCATAATTCATTATTGAAAAGGTTTTTTTCTTTCTTCCATTTTTAGGGGATAGAGAGCAAATTTTTAAAGTCCCCGTGATTCCAAACATTTTGAAGGTAAGGCCCGGATTTTACGATTAAATTTCTTTTAAAACTCAGAATTTAAAACTTATTGCAGCAATATTAAGTATGTTTATGTTCCGTAATTCTTCATTGCAAAGTTGAAATATCATTTTGCCTAAAAGTATTTTCCCGTTTCTTTCTTTCTTCCATCTTTTAAAGGGGAGGAGGTTCTAAAAGTCCCTTGGTTTCAAATATTTTGTAGGTTGGGCCCGGGTTTGTACAATCAAAAGTCTATTAACACATAATTTTATGCATATTATTACGCAATTGTATGCAGGTTTTTTTTTTGTTTTTGTTTAACATAATTTAACATTGCGAAGTTTAAGTATTATTCTACGTAGAAGTATTTTTCCCTTCTTTTTATCCTATTTTTAGGAGGGGGTCGTTTGTAAGGGTTCCCTTGGTCTCAAAATTTTGTAGAAGAGCGATGGTTTATACTCTTAGAATTTTATGCACTTGTATCAGACTGAAGATGCAGTTCCCTATAGATACTTAAATTCCGATGCACTCATGTAGTTACAAACTTATTCATTAAATAAATATTTTATTTTTAATGCCAATAATAAAACAAATAACGACAAAGTATGTTTTAAAACTATATCGATTTTCTCGAAATGCTTTTTTTTCTTTTTTTTTGTTCAAAAAAAAAAAAAAAATTACGTATAAGTAAGTTTTAAGGAAGGCCCACCACTTTGGCTGATGCCCAGGGGGTGCTCGCTTTTCCAGGTTTATGGCCAGTCCGACCTTGGACTTAGGTAATTTTAAAAAATACCGACTTTTTATAAGCGGTAGTTAACCAGAAGTTAAAAAAAGAAAATCGTTCTATTTTCGAACTAAGATTTTTAATTCTATATTGGCCACTACTTTACTTTCTCTCGGTTCAACAAGTTTTTGTATACAACTATTTTCGTGAAATAAAATGGAAAAATACTAAAAATAAAGTATGAGAAAAATCTTGCTAGAAGAAATGTTCTTGCTTCATTTAGAAAAATTAAAGTGTTCCTAAGAGTTTGAGACTTAGTAAAATTCTTAAGAAAAAAAAACTATAATGGTTTTAAAGTTGGGAAAAATTCAAAAATAAATTAATAAATTTAAATGAACAAATAAATAGTGAAGAAATAAGAAATAAAATAAATATATTTAAAAAAAAGTACAATGATTCTATTGAAAAATATTTTTGTAATTCAAGTTAACTATAAGAAATAATTAAAGGAATAATTTCTGGGCATCCCAAAAATTTACTTTTGGCTTATTTTACCGGAGATTTATTTACGAATCAAACTAATTCTTTTACAACTATCCTTTAAGTTTTTTTTTTTTTTTCAAATACAAATAACACAATCCAAATTTTGAAAAACAAAGCAAATTTTGAAAAAAAAAAGGAAAGAAAAAGAAAGAAAAGAAAAAGAAAGAAATCTTTTCATTTTCTTAAAAATAATCTTCAAAGCATTTAATTTATAATTGGAATGTTTCGGTGAATTAACGGAACTATGAATGAAACACATTAACTAAAATTTAACCAAATGTCCTGCATTTAAACGATTTGAAACTATTACTTTTTGTTTCAAAATTTATCGAAACTACTTAAAGTTATTTATATTATTTATATATTATATTA